TTGGCACAATATAGAATTCTCAGCACAATGGTGAAGTGCATTCAAAATATAAAATCAAAATGCTAAAGACATCGGTCTTGTGGCCTAATAAATAAAGTATTTTACTTCAGATCAGAATGTCATGGGTTCAAGAACCGTAGGGATCGATGGTGCTGTCACAGAGATGGCTATTAGGAAGGTGTGAGGAAAGGAAGATATGAATCTTAAGGATTTATTCTTCGGTGAACTTATTCGTATAGTTATTTTACGGTATTTCTAACTGTAAACTTTTGTTTAACTCAGAGATTAAGTTAATAAATTTTTGTATATCGCTTATTGTTAGTTATTTATATAAGTCACGAATCTCCTTGTTATGTGATTTTTTTTATTTTTGATCTAGTAATTTAAATGTACAATTACGTGAGTTGTAAATCTTATGGATACACGTAGCATACGACCATTCATTACGGCTTCTAGTGTTCTAATTAGCGGATTACTTGTGACGAATACAGTGTTAATAAACTATTGTTGTTGGTGCACAGCAAAAACACAATAATGGTAAGGTACACTATACAAGGATAAAAATAAGCTTAGCGACGTTCATCACATTTCTTATACGGTATTCAGGAATTTGTAATCAGAGGAATAAGATGAGTAGTGTGAAGATTGTTTTGTGACTCAACTAGGGTTAGTTATTTTATTGAGTAACGGTTTCCTCAACAAGTCTGAACAATTGTCTGGTATTACCTATTGCCGCTGCCTTTTCCATCTCTCTTGCTTTCGCTACCCACCACTGTTCACGATCACTGCGTAGGCTTCTTGTCAGCATGTGCTTAAGCTGACTCCGCTCTTCATTATATTCAGAGCCAGGTGGAATGAGTTTCCGAGCATCTATCAGTGCAGTAGATGCTGCTGAGATTCAGTGTTGCTCCCTAACCTTACGGGTTACCGTACTAGCAGATATCGCTGCTGTTTCCACAGCTTTTCGGATATCATTCCATGCTGCCTCGGGGTGGGCATCACCTACATGGCTCCCTAACTGTTTTCCTAGTTGTTCCTGAAATATACTCTTAGTTTGACTATCATTAAACAGGACCCTAAGAGGTTTCCTTGCAGCGTAAGATGCAGACAGATACGCGCTCGTACTAGAGCATGATCTGAATCTAAGCATGTGCTCCAGAATGAGCGACAGTCTTCTATCGAGACCCTCCATCGGTGGCTGATAGCGATGTGATATATTTGGGTCCAACGTTCGGAAGAATTAGGGGATCTCCATGTTAAAAGATGTTTTTCCTTATGCTCAAAGTTAGTGTTTGCAAGAAACAGGCGGTTATCTGAGCATAGCTGCAACAGGTGGTCGCCATTATCTGTTCTTTGAGCCACGATGTTATAAGATCCACCTAGGTGTCTTTCGCTATCGCTTAGTTTACCTACTTGAGCATTAAAGTCACCGGCCATTATTACTACATCCGAGCGCCTAGCTTTTCGGAGAAGGTCGGAGAGCTCTTTGTAAAACTCATCTTTTACATCATCTGAGCTGCAGTCAGTCGGAGAATAGGCAGAGACGACGAAGAGGCAACGACGAGTGTTCCTATCTTTTCGGATTCTTACTGTTCCGTTTAGTCGGACAGCGCACAAACGACTGTCTACTGGGATTCAGTCTACGAGAGCTGATGCACCGCATGATAAACTAGTAAGGGCAGCTGACAGGACATTTTATGCAACTAATTTTGCGTTTATATTTTCTAACAGATCACAATAGACAAGTTACCTAAATTTGTCTCTTCAATGAGCATCTACCATTGCATTGCGCCTGTGATGGCTATATTGGGCGTGCTAACAGATAATCTAACCAACTAATGAATGGACATCTCCCAGCATGGTTTGAAAAGAGTCAAAGACTATGTGTAGCTCTATCTTGTCACACGTGGTCGATATCAGTCATATGGTAGATAAAAGCCAGTGGTTTCATGTGACCTATCGTGTACCTGTGTCGTTACTCAGTGGAGTTCCATCCTGGCTTCTACACATGGTATATATAGAAGTAGAGGGATCCGAACCTATAGCCCTAGTTTGTGTGCAGAAGAAATTAGTGACATCCCCGTCCTTTCTTTGTTTGGGTATGACTTAATTAACCATACCGTAAATTTTTTTTCACATCTTGTATTTGTTTATCTTTCTTCATCTCCATTTATATTCTCACTATCTAATTATCTACACAAAATTTGTTATGTAATTTCAAGTTCATTTTGTAATTATGATTTTAAAGTCTATTTACCCAAGTTTGACCTACTCTTATGTTAAACTCTTCACTAGAACTTTTATTATTCCTATAACTGCTAGGATACCTGTCTTACCATTTTCGTATACCTATTTAAATATTCCTGTCTATTAAAGTAAAATCTAATGGTGATCGCATTGAAAACAATACCGTTCGCTTGTATGTACTACAAATGGTCAATACAATGAATGTGTGAACGAAGTGCAGAAAAGATTAATCAAAACGACATATAGTCTAGGAATGGAATCATCCATGAATATAAATATAGAAACGTATTGTAGAATTTATGAATTATATAGCTCACATTTTTTTAGAGTAATTTTGAATTTTATGAAATAAATAAATGAGAACTATTAAAAACAAGTAGCGATTGACAAAAAATATATTTCACACGTTACATTTTAAACAGTAGGATAGCGAACATATTTGGGACAGAATACTTTATGTCCCTGTAATGAGAGATGTAGCTATTATAATAAATGTTCTGCTGAAGTTAGATCATTAATATTTTTTTGTGTGGAAGACGGTTATTTAAGGAATAACTTAAGGCTATTGTTCTGATCACAATAACTTTCTTACGTAAAGAACTTTCAGATCTGTGACACTAAAGCTGCTGTTTATAAAGCTTTGCTTCAATTGTTACACAAGCGCGTCTGAGATCAACGGAACAGGACAGTCAATAAAAATATAAGGACAAACGAAGTCAACAAACCCTAGGAATACAAACAAGACTATTAGAACGATCTAATTCAATACATAGTGAATAACTAAAAATGCTCACTTCTATATAAAGTAGCGTCAATCATATTATCAAGAATAACAATGAAAACTCAATAGGTAAACCGTTTATCTCAAAGAACTCTACAACAACACAGGCATTTATATGAACCTTAAATCAGCATTAAATTGAACTATGCATTTTTTTTAAAATAGATCTATTAACAGCACAGTTGTTCAATCAGCTTATTTACAATTCAGTAGATAGACTATAGTACAGTGAAGTGTACAGCAAAATATTCATTCTTATTGTTTATTATCGTTATTTTACTAGAAAAAGAGAAATGAAAGGAAAGAATAAAACACATGTACAAAAAAAAACCAAATACATTATAAACCAGTAGTGCGAAAAATATTGATTAAACATTTGATCTATTTTTAATTCTGAAGTAAATGAAGAAGTAATTTTCGGCATCGCTGTGTACTTATTATGTTACATTTCCCCATCATAGACAATTTATTAGGCTACGGAATAAAAAAAGACATTTAAAGCAAAGCCAAAAAGACAAAAATAAAAAGATGCTTTAATCATTTCATTTTTTTAAAATTTAAATATCTGATGTACACAGTATTTGTTGTGAATGTAATGGAGAATTTTCATTTCGGATTAACCTTCACTCGAGCTTTCCAAATTTTGAAATTTATTAAGGCTTATTATTTAGTTGGTATGTCTCGCTCACTATTTTTATAAAATTAACCAACTTAGAATCGGATGTCAGGTGATTGAAGGCAATCGGCAAGAAGCAAGTCCAGAGTTTTTCCTATTGTTTAACAATAAACAAAGCGAGCTTCAATATCAAGAATTTTGTATAGCGATCAGGATTCATGTTCGATTGATATTGACTACTATCCAACGACCAGTTAATGTAATTCTAGATCATTTATCCTAATTTTGCGATTTTGTCATATAACACAGAGGATGGACGATGTAATTCTGGTAGATTTAAATATTCCTCTAGTCAGTCAATAAATTTTCCAGTTTGATTAATCATCCGAAAAATCAATGAAGCTGCTAAATATGTATAGTTGTTGACAACATACTGAGAATCACATCGTATTTATTTTTCTAAGTTTATAGTACAGCTTTTTTGATGTTATCAAAGTAATTCAACTGAATAGCAAACAAGTTATCAAGAGTCGAATATCAACAACATTAAACCACAACTTCAAAATCAACAGAATACGATCAATATAAAACTTTATGATATTATGTACATAATTATTCAGTTCCAAACTAGTAGTAAGTGGAAAATGGCAAAACAACGTGTATTCTAATTCTGTTCACTGTGTTGTATTGACACGACATTGTTGAGATTTACAAGATAGAACCATACTACTTATGAGTAACTAACATTTTAATGTTTAATTCCTTTTTTGCATTCGGTTGGTGAATTAAGTAGTTTTGTTGGTTGACGTGGTTTTTTATTTCTTTCGGCCTCATTAAAATGGACACTTGTTTGTGCTCAATACTGACAACTTCTTATTGGTTTTATTCTTCTAAAAGTAAGACGTTAACTTAATCTAGTTTTTTTATTTACTGCAGAATCACAAAATATTCAATGACAATAAAAGACTAAGCACTCATCATGAGGCTTTCAGGTCATACATTCAATCCTTGACGAGGTTGTGGATGTGCGCTGTTGAGCAGTTCAGTAACAGGATGAAACACTTATCCAGTGTTTCCTAGGTTTTATTGATTGTATAGTTAAAGTTATTCCATGATGTAAACTATACAAATCTCACAATAGTTTTATGGCGTTTTTCCATAATCCTAATCACCGATAAAATGATGTCATTTTTTCTTTTAACTGAATATAGTTTGATTTCAATGAAATGCCCATACAAGGCTGTTAGCTATTGTTAAAAGAAATTTAATCACCAGCCTTATAAAGAACATAATTAAATGGATTTACACAAATGGGTTAGCACTTTTAATTTTTTGAATAACTAGCTTACTTATTGTTCAGCTCTTATCTTTTGATGTTGATCTCAATGAATGTGCATTTGCTGAGAATGAATCTGATATTGTACAACAACTTAAGGAATTCAATGTCTGATTTAATCTTTTTAACTGGTCATAATTATATTTTAGTCTATCTTCTAAACAGTCTTTAGATGACGTGGGTTGGACGATTGATTCTTTATTTATTCCATAATTCTTTACATCATTACTGTGATGATGTTGACTGTGGTTATCCTCTAAATTGACATTTGATAAATTATGGTTATTATGTAAGGAATAGCTTGATATCGAAATATTACCAGGTGAATGAATTGAATCAACTCTAGATGACGACGACATGTTACATAAAATACCTTCATTTGAATAATATTCATAAAATGTTCTAGCTAAATTTCTGCCTAGTCGAGCATCTAAAAGATATTTTTGTTCAAAAATAAATGATGGTTAAGGCAATGCTTGTCAATTACATGATAAATGAAACGAATCATCAAGTGAAAGATTATTAAAATAAACTAGATTTTATGTTAACTTGATTGGATATTATTCGTATATGCAATCATTCTCAAATTTGCTATGAATTCTATCACGTCAACAACAAAAAAACAATTGTATAAAGTTATAACATTTCGGGGTCGATAAAATGCTCCATGAGGAATGAAATTACCATTCATTATTAATAAAAAACAATGTTCATCAAGCGGAAGTTTAAATTCATTTGGGAAGGTGCATCAATAATTCTAAGGAAAATGAAATAATCGAAAAACCCAGTGATACTAGACGAGTATTGCTGACTTGTCTCATAATACGATGCAACACTTATTATCTGATTATAAGGGCAGGAAGCTTTATGAGGAAAGGACGAAAAATTATGTTTATAGACCATGGGTATACATACATAACACTAGTAATCCGAACAAAGTTATGAACAGTGACTTTGGTCAGGTGGATAAAGCACTAACCCACAATAACCTGTCATACTTGTATTTCTTACTTCCGTATGGCCTTGAAACAGCATGTGATCTGTTTGGAGTCGCCAACCTGGTTATCATCAACTTCTATTTAATCAGTTAAACCCTTAATAGACTTATATATCTTGTACCTAGATTCGTCGATTCAAGTTTACTGCATCTTACTAGCATAATCAGTTGTGTTTATTGGTACAACTCCTGAATCGTATAAGGCTTCATGAGTCTTATTTACTTCACATAGTACACCTTTCATACTGCCACCAACTGCGTGAACATATTTACATGTATCTGTCAAACTTGTTGCATTGGAAGAACAGTAAGAAGGGTCTAGATTCAATTTTGAGAACATGTCGACTGAATTTTCAGGAATCGATCTCCTTCCAGGAGGCCCAACTTGAAAAATGTCCATGTATCAGCCTGGTGCTCTATCACAAAAGGGATGTCTTGAAAAGAGCTACTTAAAGCCTCTAATCCGTTTGACTTCAAACATTCAAGAACGAGAACGTTATTTCCAGCAGTAGGTCTATGATCAAACTAAACAAAAATGGAGATAGTGGACAACCTTGACGGACACCACCTGAAGTTGAAAAATCAGATGACAGTTCGCCATAAGCTCTCACTCGACTAGTAGTGTTCGAGTAAAGAGACTTCACAAGGTTTATGTACTTCTGAGGTACGCCTTTCAACGGCAGACACTGTCACAGAACCTCTCGGTCTACAGAGTCAAATGCTGCTTTTAAGTCAAGAAAGACCATCATTGTCGGACGCCGATGAACCTGCCTGTGTTCTAGAACCTGACGAATGGCGAATATGTGGTCAATACAGCCACGACCGGGTCTAAAGTCAGCCTGATTTTCTCGTGTTTGCCAGTTCACGAGTCTTTGTTAGGCGTCCGATAATCACTGAGACCAATCTCTTAGACGCCATATTAGGCAAACTAATCCCTCTATGGTTATCACAGGATGATTTTGACCTGTTCTTATATATTAGGACGATCAGTGATTGCGACCAGTCAGATGGGATAACGTCCAACTCACAGATCTTAGCTAAAACATTAGTCAACCTAATCGCTAAAATTAGACCACCATGCTTAAAGATCTCTGGAGCCAGCTACTCTTCCTCGTTTCAGAATAACTATAGCCTTTTGAACTTCAGCTAGAGTTGGGGGACCTACCTCAATGTTCCATTCACACTGTTTGGGAATGATGGGTAGTTGTAGAGTTGCTGAAGGTAAGCTAAACTGCTTCTTAAAGTGTCCCGCCCATCGTTCTAAACGTCTGAGCTGAGAGAAGATCAGAGTGTCCTCTTTTTCCGAGATCGTCTCACACTTGACTTCTTAATTCCAGTTTCTTCATTAGTCTGAAAAGCTTTCTGGTGTTATGTACAGCCGTTGTCTTTTCCATCTCTTTACATGTTCAAAAAGAAAGAGAAGTAAATCTTTCCATATTGTGTTAACATTACCCCTACTTTACTACATTCTTTCCCAAAATCATTTCTTTTATTTAGGTTGAACTATTATCAATCCATTCAAATTCATATATTTATTTTTAACTGACTGACCTTAATTCATGTTATCATTAATCGCCACCAGCTTGTGTCTAACTGCTTCACTGCGCAATCAACTAGCTTTTTTAGCTCTGTGACCTTTAGTTGCAATCCCAATGTTCTAGAATTTTCTCTCGCACATTGTGTTTGTTTACAAAACTTCTTCCGATTACCTAACTTTTCTGGGAACTTATCTCTATCATGACATACATACTAACCTCTAATCAACTTCAATCACACAAGTATGTTATCTCCTATGGTAATTTTGATTTTAAATCATAAGGGATTGTAAGTAACAGACGAGAACCCAATGAAATAAAATAAATTCTCATTATTCTGTTCAAATCTTTGTTCTTACTCTCTGGAAAATGAAACTTTATACCCGAAACATCTACAAGAAATACATATTTATCTCATATTAATAAATATTTATAGACAAGTAAATGAATATAGTGAAAATATGTTTAATAATTTAAAGGATACACTTTTCTTCAGTATACGGAATCATTTCATTGGTTAACATATTTGTGTAACTGTAAAATGAAACTTCTAATGTATAACAAATAGTGCGATCGTCCAGAATACCACCCAATGTGCTATAAGAAAGTAATAAAAAGCAGCATATATGTATATAATCACATCTACAAGCAAATATTTTATCACCTAACTAAAAAGCACATAAAAAAGTTTTAACAAATCAAATTACTACGATGGAGGTATACAATAACTATAGATTATTAATAATAGATATTCTTCTATAAAAATGTCAGTTATCCTCTTAAAACAATGATCTTAACCGAAACGTCATACAATAAGACATGTTAGTAAACTCTCGCTTATATAACTTGTTAAAATATGTAGGAGATGAACGGACAGAAGAAAAAATTCATTGAAGTTGGATAATCACAATGAACGCTTAAATTCAATTAAAGAATGCTAGCTGATCAACTAGTAAACTATCAAGCAGCTAATCAGTAATGGCAATTAATGATAAACTCAACGAGAAATCTGGTTATGATTAAACAGAAGGTTTATCAGAACGATAACCCACAGTTATGAATGGGATTGAAGAAAAAATCTCAAACATGGAGTGGTTATTCTTTAGTAAGTTCGTTTATAGATGGTGGTAATTTCCGAAACAGTGGTTTTATGGTGGCTTTCGACAGTTAAAATTGTAAGTCATCACTTTAGTTATTAAATGTTGATACCTCTTTTACTATTTATAAATTGCAGTAAAAAAAATCTAAATTTGTTACTCAGCCTTAAGTCACAAATATCATAGTAGTGTTTGGATTTGTATACTGTGATGCATCGTAACCTTGGGTTTAACTGCATAATCATATGAGTTCCTTGTTTAAATAACAAATACACTTATAACCACTTATTCAACCTTCTAGAGCTCTGACTGAAGATTTGGAATCGTAGTAATGTGTGTGTACTGTCAAGGGTTTGAACTCTGTCTGTAGCTCTCCTAGGTTTACTACCTATCATAGGCCTAGATAAAGGAGAAGGGTTGGTCATGAGGTCAGCGAACCCATCCTGTAGAAAACGACCTTGCTAAAAATCGCTAATCGTGAAAAGTCACTTGAACTCTGTCTTGGGAGTTGAAGGGTCTTCTAACAGAAGAATTATGACACCCCATGGTGAAAGCCGAAACTCTTAGAAAGCCACAAGGCCGATACCCAATACCCATCCTGACAACCAGAGCAATAGTTAACATAAGTACTTGGAACGTTCGGACAATGTAAGAAACCGGGAGATCCAGTCAAATTGTTAAGGAAATTAGGAGATAAGACTTGGCGCTTCTCCGAATAAGTGAGACCCATTGGACACAAACTGGACAGAAAAGATTAGATTCGGGAGAGGTGTTGTTGCATTCTAGCATGAAGAAGGAAATGTTTTTCACACACAACGGGTTGTATTGATCCAATCCAAAGAAGCAGGAAAAGCGCTCAGAATGGGGATCTCATAGATACAGGATCATCAAAGCATTCTTCAAAACGAAGGAAGAGAGGATTGCATAGAATGTTATGCTGTGCTATGCACCCAACAATGAAAGCAATGACGACGATAAACATGCAATGTTTAGCTTGCATGCAAATAGACGATTTGAAATTCTCAGTTGACCTGGCCATTCTATCCCATACATACGAACAGATGCAGATGAAGGCAACCAGTGTATCAGCAGCCTCTGCAGCAGTAGGCCTCAACCTACACAAGGGGAAAAGCAAGACCCTCAAATCCAGTACGGAGAACACCAACTAAATCACATTTGATGGAGAAGCCCTGAAAGAGGTGGAAACGTTCACGTACCTGGTCAGTAGCATCATCGATAAACAAGGAAGACTCGATGCAGATGTTAAGTCACGGTTTACTAAGATAGAGCGACATTCCCACAGTTGAAGAATATATGGAACTCAGAAAACTGTCAGCTAACTTCAAAATTAGAACCTTCAATACGAACATCCAAACAGTCTTACTGTACGGAGCTGAAGCTTGGAAAGCAACCAGAACCACCATCAGAAATGTACAGGTATTTATAAACAATTGTCTAAGAAACATATTCAAAGTATGTTGGCCGTAAACTATCAGCAACAGCCTACTGTGGGAGAGAACAAACCAACTTCCAGTTGGAGAGGAAATTAGGTAAAGACGTTGGAGGTCAGTAGGACATACAGTACGGAAATCATAAAACTGCATCATGAGGCAAGGCTCAACTTGTAGTCATAAAGGCAAAAAGAGAAGAGGCAAACCAAACAACAAATTGAGCCGGAAATGGGAGACAGACACTAAAACGATGAATCGCACATGAAAACAACTAGAAGGAGAGCTCAGGTCAGGGTTGGTTGAAAAATCCTGGCGGACAGTATATGCTCTACAAGATGTAACATGCGTAAGTATCGAGGGTTTGACGAATACAATAACGGAATCAGAGGATTTACCATAAATGTCATAAGTGAAGTACGATGGTGCAAACCTTTACACTAAAAATGAGTTGCTGTATTCCGAAAGCTGTTTTTTGTATACAGCTGACTCAGTTGTCATTTTTATCTAAACACTTTGATTGCAATCAGAGAATAAAGTTTCAGTTATAACAGTGTAAACAAAAACTGTTAATAATTTTCCGTAGGGATGTTGATACCCACTGATAATTCCCACGCGTCGATTCAATATCGCGACAAATAATAAGTCCAATTTATAGAGATTTCTTGAACGGGAAGTGTTTTATATAGCCATTTCCTATAGATCTTAGAATTAATCAAAATATGTATCGATAGAAATGTAGGTAATCTAAGTGACCCAGTATTTCAGTAAATTCAATTTGAGTTTAGATGATTAAAAGTAGTCAGTTGGGATTTAGGGACCATGATTTTGTATATTCATGTCGAAGAAACTCATTATTTCATTGAAACTCCGAATCTTATCGCTTATAGCTGTGATTGAAAACATTATTAATAAACTGATAAGCCACAAACAACATCGGTGAATGAAGTGAACCACAGTATCTGGTTTCCTAGATTTACAACCGTTATGAAATTATTATGTCAAGAAAGGATGAAAACGTAACACTGATCACTATGCAATCGTGCAGCTGACCGCTATATCAACATTACAAATTGCCAATCCAAATGTCAGACGCAAAAGCTTTCATAAAGGTGTGAATAAGTTTCACAAAACAATATCAGGAAATATAAAATTTAGGTCCAGATTAATCTAATTATTGGTTTTAATCAACTTACCTGTAAAAAAATTTAACGATCTAATCACATAAAATTTCTTCGTCACTTTTATTTTATATTATTTTCTAAAGAATCGTTAAATATTTTGCACCCTTTTTTAAGTTTCTCACAGTTAAAATTAGTTTCTGATACTTATTTATGAGTGAATCAGATAAAAAACCACAAGCAAACTCAAATACTGGAAGAAAAATTGACTGTTTTATCATGTAAACAGATATCATGATACATAAAAAATTACTTACCGTCGACCAGTTCCAGCTTTTAAAGTATCTTTATTGAAATTTGTCTGTGGTAAACTAAAGTCTTCAGCAAACTGACTTAACAAACTTGGAAATCTAGCTTGCCTTTCTGCTCGTTTTTCATCCTCATATATATTTCCATACATAAATCCATTCATTAGTGTAGAGTGTGCATGTATATCAATGAAGAAATTCACATCGATGAACTAGGTAAAGGTTAAGATAAATTCAAACACAGAACTATGAACTAGTGATCTTTTCATATAAAATACATTTTCATCACATGCCAATATCAGCTGAGAAACGATTTAAAACCACGGGGTAATAAACCCAAAGGACAATAGTTACAACCTATATAGGGTCAAAGGTGAACACTGCAGAGAAGTACTAAAGTATAACAAAACAAATGTCTAGCTTTTTCTACTTTTCAATGATTCAGCGAAGAAAATTTTCTTTTCGACGAAATCATTTACTTAAGCTGTACATTCGTATATATAGTTATATGGAAAATGTGTGTCTATAGAAGGATAGAATGGATTGTATCACAAAAATGGATTCGACAATAAATAACAAATGAGGTTACGTACTAATCAAGGGGTAAGGAAGAACAAAATTTAAGGGTCAGATAATAGTCCAATTGACAGATATGAAGAAATTTTGTTCTTCCTTACCCCTTGATTAGTACGTAACCTCATTTGTTATTTATTGTCGAATCCATTTTTGTGATACAATCCATTCTATCCTTCTATAGACACACATTTTCCATATAACTATATATACGAATGTACAGCTTAAGTAAATGATTTCGTCGAAAAGAAAATTTTCTTCGCTGAATTCTCTTTTTCTTATTCAATGACACTATGGGTTATTTTGATTATTTCTCAATGATTCCCCAGGTGATGCTAGCCCATGAAGAAAATCAATCGAAAATCGACTTCATTTTATTTTGCTTAAAATGGATGAAAGAAATTAATAGAAAACCTTGAGTCTAAGTTTCTTGTTATTGCATATGTAACAAACGGAAAATGAACTAACTTTAGCCTCATTGCAAGTACAAAAGTTACTAAAAAGTTTATAACTTACTGGATTATTGTCCAAATTCATTAACAATTGTTTTGTAGCATAAATAGTAGGATGTGCCCATAAGGATGGAGACTGCCATTGTCTATTTAAATCGAATCCCATTAAAGATGATCTAAAGATACCGAGAATTAAACTGTTTCTTAGACTAAGAAAAAAAACCGTTTTAAGACGTTTTTATTGTCATTATTTATCATATTGGTCTACAGTGGTGGAGTATGGCACACATTTTATAGTTGTTGTAGCATACAGAAAAAGGAGACTAAAATAAAATGTGAACCACATGCAACTATCATTAATCGTTACTAAAATTAGACATTTGCCTTAATGAATATTATGAACAATGATTCAACTTACAGTTAACAAATAATTTCAGGACATCAAAATAACCTTGATTACGATTATAGACTGTAAATTCATTAACTATAGGTCTACATTTGTAAATTCGTTAATAAAGCTTCATTGTAGTACAAATTTAATATTTGTAAACGTTGGCGAATGTGAATAAAAAGTATCACGGTGCGGTATAGCCATACATCTTAGATTTTTACTAAAAACTTCAACATTTTACCTTATTGCTCTAATTTAACATAACCTTATGTATTCCACTCATTGTTGCACTGATTCTTTTTCTAAAACATCTATTATATATATTTTTTTGTAATTTGTTTATAAATTACATTGAAGAAATACTATGGTAAGTTTGGTGTTGAATCGAATACGTATCCACTATTAACGAGTTTGTCATAAATTCCTCTTCACCTTTACCATGGAATAAATCAATCTTCAGGAGTACTTTTTCTCATTACAAGCTAGGACCATTCAGAGTCAAACAAGTCAGAGATGAAACAGTTACTCAACAATGACATTGAATAGGAACCACGAAGAAATATACCATTGATTTACTGGACCTGAATATTCACATCACTTGCTTCCAACTTATCGACTCCGTGGTAAAGCAATAATAATTATGAAACCCAATTTCAAGTTTATATTGGGTTGTAGATGCGCGGTAGTGAGCACCCCCACCCTTAAAAATCTAGGGCTGATGAGGTTGATAGTGCTCCTTGATTTTAAGTAATCCTTGAAACGATGCTTGTTTGTGATTTGGATTTTCTTCTAAATAAACAAAACTCTCTAAAACACCTACCTACTTTTAAAGTGTATCTTTAACCAAAAATTCAGCTGTAACAAGAAGTCGAAACAGAGATGGTTGTTTCACTTAAGTTTACTTTCAGTTTTAGGACTATAAGGAAAAAATATTTATTCGTAATTAATGCATTTGACTAATAAGTACTCTAATGATTAGATATTTTCATACCTAATTCGACATTTCTAGAAAATATCGTTATTATGTGGATTATACGAAACTTATATCAGTTTATTTTCCCCTTGCTTCATTAGTATTGTTGAGGTTTTTATTTTGACTCCACTCAAAAAATGCCTCTAGCCTTTAATGTTGACCTTTTTCCAGTTTTTTTGCCAATTCTTATTATATCTAGGTAATAAATACTTAACTAGAGTTAATCTATTTTGTGTTTATCTAATTAGTTGCAAGAAAGTCTTACAGAAAGACATTTGAAAAGTAAGGAAAATTTAATTATTGTAAAACTAAACAGAACAGAATTATTTTGCTAGAAGTTAAAATATCTACTATCAACAAACTTACTGTAAAGTGTATTACTATAGTGAGATGAAATCGGACAAGATATTGTTAGTAATGCGGCAAACAAAACAGAACTTACCTATAATTTCCCAAATAAACACCATCTGGATTTAACATTGGAACAATTTTAAAAATTAAATGTTCACGTAATTGTTGAGCTATCGAATGATTACTAACCATGAAATCAATAAATCCTATAATATTTTGACGAAAAACACAAGTATATCTATACTGAGATCATCTTGTACTACAACGAAATAATTCAGTTTTGATGTAAAAAGAAGGCAATCATCTAACACAGAGATTATGTACATGTCTACCTGAAAGGTGGTAAGTTATATCTATTGTATAAGGACTGGTAAAATCTTAAGATTTTGACTATTAAACTAAATGAAGCAGGCTAAAGCTGTCTAACCTCAAGTTTATTAACCAGGTACACATGACCCAAAAGAGATTTCTCATTAATTATTACCTCTGAGAACCCATAACTTATGTTCAATTAGATTCATCAAAAGAAAAATAAGTTACAAATAAGGACAACAGATTGTAAGATATAGCATGTTTTAGCAATAATTATAACTTATAGGCCAAACATTTCAAATTTAAGAAATGCTCTTCAAAAAAAGGTGAATATTCTCTATGAGGATGTTTTGATTCAGTGAATTATTGGATTACATAATACGAAGTCTAGTTTTTCGAGCACACCAAGTATGAGCGCAGATAAGGTGCATTTATTCCATCAAGTAATCTATAATGGTACTGATCAGCGTATCATACGTAATCCAACTGAAGAGGCATGGGGAAATCTCAGTTTTGTTTAGGGAAACTGGCTTACTACTTCTGACGCCATGAGATACATTCGACCACATAGAGACCACAAAACGATTTTATTTTCATTTTCTCAAATACTTTTATTTTGTCTTTATTTGCGTTAATCCAGCTGTTTTTTCCACAATATCCGGAGTGACAATATTTATCACAAAGCTAAGCACAAGTGACTTAGTCGTACATTAAACAGTTGTTCCCATAACAGAAGGCAACCATGTGAAATAACCGACATGTAATCTATACGACCGTTAAAAAATTGTAACTTTAAGTTTGAATAAGGATGTTTGGTTTTGCTAAAACTTCATTGATAGTGTGTTTCCAGAAGTAGTAGTTTATGGCTGGCAGTAGCATTAAGGAAGCGCGTCTTGTCCAATTTGAAGTGCTTTAGATGGATGTATTTGCATTTCAGTGTTAATTTTCACACTGAAAATAGAATTCAGTAATTTTCGCGACAGTGATCAAAATAAGATCTTGAATATCAACAACGGGATAACTCAAGCTCCTTGTAGTAATAATACAATCACAAGTATTAGTTTCTGTCTGTTCTTTTATTTATTTATTTACTCCCATAATTTATTCATCGATTCGCTAATTTTATTGAGATATCTAAAATCACTATGCTCGAGTTATTGTATGATTCTGAGAGTATTCGAGAGATTAATGTTGATGAAAACAGAAAAATAGCCTTTATGCTAAATCTCATTGGAGGTGAATTAATATTTACATGGTAATTAGTAACTTGTGCACAAAATAACCATGATATTCACGAAACGCTGCTTCAATTACTGGCTTTCAAAAAGAAATAGTAACATTTGAAGTAATACAGGTAGTTGTGGAATCTTAACCTATAATATTCAGCATTGAGTCGTTAAGAACTAACTACTTGTGTGTTTCTTTGTACAAAATGAGCAGGATTTTAATTAATACAGTTTAAAGACTAAACAGTTTGACAGTGGTCGTTCTGTAGTCACTAATTAATTTTATTGAAATCTATTGATGTCATTTGTACGAGATAAAGATTTCGTTTAAGTTGATTCTTAACTAAAGTAATTAAATCTAATATCAGTGAAACCTAACTTTGAGGAATATATTTTATACGTCAAACAAGCAACCATTACCAATTTGGAATCTAATCAAACTAAAGTATAAAATCTATTTAACAATACATGAAAATGCCCCAACTAAAAACAGTACATCTGATTACCTTGGCAAACATAAGATGATGGTGTTTCACCAGGATGAACACGAGCGGTCACAAATATCACACGTTTCTTGTCAGCCGTTTTATTGAGATTACTAGGATGAGTAATTGTTATAAGATCTAGACGTCTTTGTTGCTTGTAAAATGGAAATAAGTTGCGAATATGAACATAAGAAATTAAAATCATAGTATTTTATGGTATATATATGGTAAATAATCCTGACTCAAACACAAGCGACCCTGTTGAAGTTCGATTAGTTATATTGGATTGATAAAAAATGACAACTTACTCGACCAGCTTGTTTTAAAATTGAATTTCATCAGTGACACTTTGGCCAGGTGAAAAATACTAGGTTTGTTTGTAAAGCTTTAAGTCCAGATAATTAACCAGTCATTGGGGTTGTGGGCTGATAATGACCAGTTTATAGAATACGTATCACCAATGGACTTCACCATGATCAAAATTCATTTTGCTACTTCTAGTTTGATACTAATTAGTATAGAAAGTGTTGTATGGAACAAACTGATCTTTTACACCAATCTAGGGTGTCATAAAAAAGTGTTACATAGTATAGTGATAACCATCTAAAAGCCAGTTAGTTGCATTATTCTGTGTCATTATAATACTATGTGTTTAATTTTTCGCTAATGAAAGAATATGAATTAACGAACGGCACAAAATGGTAAATGGTGTTATACAAATATGTAGGGCAGTACATTGATCTCATAATGATAAAGGTGATAAAAAACAATCGAAAAGGAGTTTGGCCGTTCTTATCTCTAAAGCTAATCTAACTATTTGCTCATAACTTAGAAGGCTACAAAATAGGGTTAAGATAAAGTAATTAATTTTCTATTTTAATCGCAAAATATAATAAAATATCACGCGAAATATTATAAGTAATTTTAAAGAATCACTTGGAAAAGCACATTAATTTCCCCTTTCATAGTATGGATTAGGTTTCCCATTTGATCTATACGTGCAAAGTATCAATATTTATACTACTGAATAACAAGTCGATGCACAATGTTCCATTCAACATTTTGCACAAATTGCGTTTGGTTGACGTTTGAATTTACGGCAGTTTCAAATAACTGTTGGATTCAGAAGGAAGACTTGCTTTTCATTATAATTGGAAGTAATGACTTGTTGAGAGAACTGATACCTGATGAACAAGAGTGGGTCGTAATGTTTAGTCAATCTATATGAGAATAACAGACTAAAAATAAAGCAACTAATGTGATGTTGAGACAGTCAATATTCCCGATATTTTAATTAGAAACAAAATCTCTTCCTAAGTTTATAGCTGGTATAAAAGTATCCATAGTGATTTCATTTTAAATGCGTATTATACGAGTATGATTTCAATAAATACGGAAGCCTAGTATATATTGGGTTTTGTAAATAAAATCTGTTCAAAAAGTTGGATATTTAAGGTTATTCAATTTAATTAGAAACAAAAATTGTCTCATTACACCAACTGCCTAAGATAAGATTTATTTGCTTCATTTCAATAAACAAGTCACAGTCCAATAACCAAACATTACTTGTTTTCCGTTATGAGTTTACTATGTCGGCAGAATTTTCTATTTGACAGATTTCTAGAAAGAACGGGCAGTGGATAAAGACGATATCTATTTCTGTATAGAGTACCCTTTCTAATAACAATCAAATTAGCAGAAAAACATTCGTCAGCAAAATACGATATTCAAACTGAATCAAAAATGTGTGAAATACTACCATTAGAATGACTAACAGTCATTGCCTACAGGTTTTAGTATGTGCGACAGTTTGCCTTTAGTAAAATGTTCAATATAAAACTTTTAGGAAATGTTTACCCTCAAATATCATGTTTTGAATTGTCACAGAGACGCAATAGTTCGAGAAAATAGCCAAATCACAGCATTGACACGGTTATCGAAGTCAGAGTATTTGATTCACATGGAAAACTTAAGTGGAACCATTACTCAGTCATTATTCGGAAGAAATTTAATAGTATTGTTTTTTTTGCTGTTTCACCAAAACAACTGTGTGGTTTCATAAGAATTTACTGTTCTACTTACGGAAAACGGCTCAGCTGTACTATAGTTCGATGGTATAACTGTTACCAAACAAACCTATTTCATTAACGACGTATAAGTAGAATCACGGTTCCATTTTTAATCAAAAGTCACCCCTCTAAAATCTACCCCTTTTTACTTAAGAATATCAAAACTTCTCACATCTCCATATTCAAACACATGAATGTGACCAACAGAGAAACAAGACATAATGGTAGCCAAGCAACAAAAATCTCTGAATCAAGTATTATCTCTGAAAAAGCTACTCACTCAAACAACAATACATATTAAAAGCTCTAAAGACAGTACAGTAACTGGGTTATAGGACTGTAAAGCTGCATCAGATTTACTGTCTAAATTCATATATAGCAAATCTTAAAGAAAAGACATATGACTCCAGCCAGTTCGCGAGAATTCAGCAGAGCATACTACGAGTTGGCTTAGAACTAATTAGTCTTATCGCTTAAAAGTAAGTGTACCTACTACTGTCAGGCCCAAAAGTTCTCTCTTGAAATGGGCATAATGTTTAGTTTCTAGTATCTCTAAGTACGTCTGTAGTCTGCTGTAAGTATACGGATAACAGTACGCGAATTGATAGACGTCCTCTTCACAATCAAAGGAAAATGCGAAAGACATAACGTATTTTTTCTTTTGTTCAGGTGATCGGTAGTAGAAAACACATTTTTGTGGAATGCGAGACCTGAGTTAGGTATATAATGGAAAACAATACCTACCAGGAAGGACGGCTAGACGATTTAACAACTGGGGACATACCTTCTCGATATAAAGACTTTGTCTTGCTAAAATTTACCACATTGAAAATTACTCTCTGATTATTAATGATAGACTATGAGTATTACCTGTTCATATTTAGTGTTTTCCACTGTGAAATTAAACCATACTCTGAATCGTGCATTACATGTATCCGGACGTATAAATAAATCATACTCGTATTCACTGACGTACACAACCTTTCCAAGATTTCCTTAGTGATAATTAGGAAAGGCAAATGAAGTACCACTTTCGAAACATGCGTCGAAGATTAGATGGCCTTTTCTTAATTTTCCAGTGTATCCATTGGGTATAGCTAATAATTTACTGACATTCCCCACAACGCTATCGCTGATGCCATCAGAATCACTTCCTGCAGATTCATTCTGGTCTACAAAAGCACTTCCAAATAAATCTTCATGAAAGACGTTTTTTTTGCACTCATCTGACATAATAGTTACATTAACTACACAAACAAAAAGTAGAATAGATAAACAATTTTCTGAGCCCATTTTCAAAATTATCTTCGATCGGAATAACCAGATGACAAGAGTGGAATAGTGTGAGATAAAACATTTTCAAGCGATCAAGTTGCAGAATAAACAATAATAATGGAAACGTAGTTAAATCAATCAGATTTTGAATGTGAGTAAACAATTATTGGAGACTATCAAAACACATATGACGATGAATGTAGCAATAACAGGTATCTTTTCGACAAGCTTGTGTAAATCATATTGTAGGGCCAGTGAAATTCCACTGAGCACTAGCCAAATCATACTGCAGTTGGGTCATTGAATGTCGAACAAATCATCGATCCTCGTCAAGGTCAAGGACAACCAACGCGAATCAGTTAATCGTACGCCATGAACTGGCCGATGTGGCGGTGGTCTTACTTTCGCTTGTATCTACTTTAACTAATATATTTCTGTAATAACGTCTTCTGTGTTGTACAGTCTTCAAAGCATCTATGGTACTTTGATACGTCAATGGGCTAGTCCACGTAAAGTGCTGACCGCGAGGTGTAACTTCGACGTTAGCTGGTTCGTCACGCCATTCCAGTTTAACTCGAGTAGACTCCCGGTCATTTCGACATTGATCATCTACGTCGGTGATCTACAATATGATCTCTTCACGCCTTCCTAATGGTGTTAGGGTACGATTTTTCGTTTCCGATGACGTTCATAAACGTAATCTAGCTACTCGGCAGAATTAGTCAAAGTGAATTCCATTGTTAGCAGTGGGTTAATTTATCCTGAGCATAAGCGGCTTGGTCTGTCTCAATAAAGTAGGTTTTCTGGTGCTCCTTACTACTACATGTTTGGCAGGAACTGGTTAGTGGAAACATAAAAGTTGTAAAATCAGAATGAGGATGAAAGAAATGAAGACCATTGTTAAGAAAAGTAAACAAGTTAGTTGAAAAAGCGAGTGAATAGAAAAAATGTCAAAGCATACATATAGACATAGTTGGCGCCGAGCGAAATGTGCAGCATAGATGGACGGTTGTGATAAACATAATATTAAATAAGAATGTCAGATAAGTTTTGGGCCGTGTCCACATCTTCCGTGCAGTTTGAACTAGCACCTATGCTCCCTGCATGGTCGAATATAGACCACTTGATGTTTAAATAACTGGAAGAGAGTGACTACAGATAACACAGATTTTTTATGTCGTACGAAGTTCTATGTTCTGGATAAATCAAATATTAATTTGTTTTCCGACTTCCGAGGTTCAAGTGAATCCTTTTGCCTTTTGTGGGTTTCCAGGTTCTGACATTATCAGTGCAAATGAGAACTGGCGATCTGATTTCATTCACTTAATCGTCTGGGCAAAGCATAAGCAGTAGAAGTCTTAAAATAGTTTTAGTATGGAAGCAAAGGTATGGCGTAGTCATGTTAGGTAGCTATCATGCAGGCTATGTCATGAAACGTTGAGGGACTAGTATGCACAAACTTTAATATGTGGAGCAAAAAAACAAGTTCAAAAGACAAAAGTTAAATCAACCTTTGAAAGTGAGTACTGCATCAAGTGAAGTGCAAACCTGAAAGGATCTAAGACTAGTATCTTCTTGGATTTTGTTATAGCTGACTGCAGTAAAAGAAAGCCTGTGAAAATCACTAGTCATCGTCGAATCGGCAACAAAAATATGAAACTAAAAAACCTCTAACCAGTTAAAGTTTAAAGTGAAGCGATTTCCGAACCACTTTTGATTGCAAAGGATAGCACTTCACTAAACTAAATGCTTGTTATGCAAATTTTCTCAGTCTACTAGCTTAGGAATATGGGGTATATAAGAACATGTCTTGCGTCAGAAACAAAGGGTTGTGAAGTTCAGCCAGTAGTTTTGTGATACAGCAGGACTGACGTGCTAAGCTATATATACAGTAGTGTCATCTTGTAACTAAAAGATATCTCAACCATCTTTGCTTCTTCATCAGTGACGTATAACTCAATAACATGAAAATTAGTTATATGCTGACCAAATTATGAAGGACGACATATCGAACTAGTTGCGGTGTGCCGTAGCCTTGAATATATGGCAAATAATTTTCTCTGAAATCAACTTCAATAATACTCAGACACTGATAGAACTCTAATGGTAGATGACTTCAATGTACTATCTATGAATTGCACCAACTTAGAGATGCGTTCGCTGGAAAACTTCTTTACCACTTTTGAAACCATAATCTTATTAGCTTTATTTCAACACTTTGTAGAATTTATCAGATACTAAGAACAGCACTATTCATCTGTCCATGACTAAATCTTCACTCGTGGGGTTGATATTGGTCAATTACTTTACACCAATAAGGAGATAAAGGCCTCAAAGTCATCGTATTCAGGCTCACTGTTGACATAGCCAACCAAGTGGACTCACTGGGTCTTTCCAAAATGCGTGGGGAAGACATAAAGCTAATCAGCATACGAGCTCCTCTGATGACTAAGAAATCAATTCGGAACCATTAGTTGAAGACTCCCAGAAACGAAACGGCCAAAATCGACGGCTATGGATCAGGCGACATCCTACCGTGAAGACAAAAATGTCCTCACGAAAGTTTGCCGTTTTTTACTAAAAGCTCCGTATTTCTCTTTTTTTCATCGACTGTTAGTTTGGTTTCTCATGTTTGCTTGATGAATGTTTCAGATGGATAACAAGATTTTTTATCAAATTTACCACCGACGAGGGAATGCGGAAATGAATCTTACAGATGGTAGGTTTTAATCTCGAACATAGGATTTATATGTATCAGCTTTTCCATATTAACAGAGGAGAAAGTCCTTGAGCAAAGATTGATCCAAACTCGAACATAATAAATTGGTTTACCTCACTCTAGTATGCAACCGTCACGCTATGGGTTCAAAGATGTCATTATCTGTCCGAAAATGGAACTCCATATAACCGTGATCTCGGAGAGCGTGTGATGGCATCGGGCACTAGCCACATAGTCCTCGAAGTTGAACGGGAGACACCGGGTTAAAAAGATATTCAACATTTACCTCAAAGAAAAACCCAACGATAGAGTAGGTTGGAAAAATGAATTGAGTTAATTCGAATTGATCAGATGGCATGTCTCGGCCTTGCAGGCGTGGTCATTGTTTAGTGTTGTTATATACCTTCTATTAATATTTAATATATTGTTCTATAATTAGCCTAAGTGCGTTCTTTATCACATATTGATGACTGCTACAAATAGATGAGTCAATATAGACAACGATGTGACTTCCACGTAAGATGTCATAGATCAGGCAGTTACATCATGACAAATCTGCAATTTTAGGACTACGTTTGTTATTATTGCGGTACTGATATCACAGTAGACCATAATTCTACAAGCGCACATATAATAGTAGCTTCACAGATTCATATTCCAGTCATGATTCTGTAAAGCGGAGAGGGGAAAAACCGGAGCATCATCATAACAGATGGTTGACAAACCTAATATTTGCAATGAAGCGGGTTATTAGCAGGCATCGAAATTAAACTATCATTGTGAAAATAACAGATGAACCAAAGGAACTAAATTCAGTACATGGTGAACTATGGAGGTTAGATAGTTCTCAATTGATGGAAAAAAGGCAAATTTTTATGATGAGATAAACGTTTATTAATTCTAGAAAGCCAACAGGAACGTTAAGTGCTCAGATGCTCAAATAACTTCACAATTAAAGTTATTTTCAATTAATTATTTTGGTTTTATTGTTGTTGAGAGCCAGCCATTCAGTTTGCGCTTAATCGTCTGAATTCGCGTGTAATAGGTCGAACTAATAAAATTGGGAAACCAATAAATGATGGAAAGCGTGGTTCTAAGAAGCGTAAAACATGGGAGAATATTCATTGGTTTCCTCATCACCAACCAAAAAAGCCTAATGTAAACAAGATGTCCTACTTCCCAAATACGGGCGGAAAGAAATCAATGTTTGCTGCTTAGTAACTATACCCTCCCTCCGTTTTTGATGTTAGGCTCATTTAAAGTGATGTCTATATGTTGCACCCATTAGAAACCTCTTTCTTCACGTGCACCACATACAAGCATATTGAGCGGTTAAAGCTAGTGAGCCGTAGATAGATATGATAATTAGGAGTATTTGGATTATAGTATGAACTAGGAATCCCAGAAATAACACAAATGAATCAAGAAGTACTAGATATGCACGAAAGAATGCACTGCATTTGGAATTCTAAATCAAGCATTCAACAAGTACAAAGGAATCATTAGTTCATTCAAACACCACATCCGCCACAGCTTAAATAGGAGTATAAGTGTCTGTAATCGATTGTACGTCTTCTTAAGTTCATCCTGAGTCTGTCCGACATTTTGTTGGATAAAAACTTTGTATTATCTAGAATGTGTTCATTAGTATTGGAATTAACAACCGAAACTGGAACAGACTCACTTGGCTCCTGGGATTTTATACAATCGCTATGTCGGCTGTTTACCGAAACCACTATATAGGATTTAAAGCACAGATTTCTCAACAATATCCTCCCCCACGAAATAATGTTGGATCTTTATATCCCCAAGTTATGGATGATGTGGCCTCATTTAAAACATATTTCTCACATTGGTTAGAGTAAACATTAGAAGTGACTTCTCGATAAGGATAAACAGCAGTTGACATGAAATCATCCGGATTGTAATCAAAATCGAGCTCATTTAGTGCTCGTGCTTCGCACTGAAAAGTTTCCCACAATAAAGAAATGCATTATGAGGACAAATAATATTTGATGTGACATCAAGATTTGACTCTTCTGAAATGGTTTTCTCGAATTTATTAAGAATGTCATTGCAGAGTAACGGATCATTAGAAAAACCAGCATCTATCAAAACTACATCAAGCTTTCGATCATGGCTAGGTTCATTCAACATATTTTCATCAGATTTGCAAGGAATTTCGTCAGAAATAAGTGAATCACTGGGAAAAATCATATCTGGCACAATAACATGAGAAATCTGATAAGTCGATTGATTAGAAACTGTTGTCTCGCATGGATTCTGAGTTTCATTCAACTCTGAACTGCTATATGACTCAACACTGTCTTTCGAAATCGTTGATAAAGATAGATGATCATTATAAATACTCAACTTAATATAATCAGAATTACAAAACTTAATATTAGTTGCAGCAAGATGAGGAGTGGTATTACAAACTGACTGAATATGTCCAATATCACCACATTTAAAGCACTCAGAATTACGAAATTTACATGAATTAAAAGAGTGGAACCTGCTACAGGACAAACATTAACCAAGCTTGTGCCCATCTTCGTGAACTGCATCGCAACTCCTCGATGAGTCATCTGCATAACCTTGAGTATGCACTGGGTTGGGATGACGTAATGTAGTGGAATTTTTTATATCCTTGTGAATCATTTTACGAAATCTCCCTTTACCGCGATCGAAATTTGTATACTTAACATAGTCTAGCAGTAGTTCCTTGAGAGCTGTATAAGGAAGCGAAATCGGCTTTTCCAGTAAAGCCAGAGTCTTTAATAAGCTATATGCTATTTTTTCCGACGAATGTGAGAAAATGTACTACGATATTAACATCCTCATCACCTTCCTTGGTCATGGCCCAGATTTCGAACCTTTTAAAGTGTAAGATCCATTTTGAATGTCTTGTGTGTTTGTGAAAATCCTTCCATGTATATACTTGCACTTTGTTCCTATTGATCCCCTTAGTTGTACATTGTTGTCTTTTGATTACGTTTGAATTGTTAATACTTGTATTTTTATTATAGTTTTTGTTTTTCTTACGCATTCACTAAGTTTGTGTCTTCTAGAGTCCTCTAATTGGCAAACCGATTCCAATTTGTCAATATCAGGCTAGATGCTGTAGTCTCAAATTAAACCACTGAATCAACCGAAAACTAAATACTTGACGCACGCACTAATTTACATTTATTTCCAAAGTTATCGACCCACCTTTACAACTCTATTTTTTAAGTCAGAATGAGCATCAGAATAACGTTTGGTAATGCGGTTCCGACCTGTCCACTCGGCCGATAATGCTTTATATAACTCTAATTTAAGACTGTCGATTAACCTCATTATGTCTTTAGTGTTTATATAGTATCATTTACACACTAGCCTACATTTTGTCTGACGTGCTTGTTATAGGGTGCTTCTGCGAAACCAGTGAGAATTCCACTACAAAGACTCAAACCAGTTCGCTTATGTGCTTTTTCAGTTAGCATAAGGGCGGACACTGACGCTTTATTTGCAAGCAAGACAGACGAATAAAAAGAAAGTAAGAAACAAACAGTAAAGAGTAAAAGTAGGACATGTTTCTTTCCTGTGAGAAAAATGGAGCCAAAGAGCAAAAACTCTAAATCGCTGCTGGCGTGAACTTGGTGAAACTCGAAAATAAAAGATTACGTAGATAATCTTTCATTAGTCAATTAAATTGGAAGAGCCGATCAGAGACGCAGGATCAGTGTTTATTCAACAGCACACACATGTCTTGATAGCCCATACACAGTAATGTTTCTTCAGAATCATAGTTCACAACAAAGAAGTTCAAAAGCAATGAAAACAAAAAACAACAGCGTGTTCTTTTTTGATTATCTTGTCAACAGTGTTTTAACTGCCGAGTGGGCGAACAGCTAGTGACCGGGACGGAAATATTAAAGTAATTCAATGCGATCTTGTAGTGGCTAAATGACGTATTATAACCTCAACCTCTCCGTTACTCAGTATGTGGACAGTAAGCTGGAATGATGAAAAGAATATATCATTGGACGCTGGATCAAGGGAAGACATTGAGCTCAGGGTCTTAAGTCCAGCAGCATTATATGTATTGGAAATAGAGCTTAGAATAGATCATCAATGTATCAAAACAGGATAATCGAACAGAAGTTCAGGCAGTTTGAGTTTGGAAAGATGCAATTAAAGTTTTATCTACAAGTAGAGAAACATTGCTAATTATCAACTGGTTGGGGTGATACCCACGTAGTAAAAATAAAAGAAATCTGTAATATTAGTTCATATGAGATATTGAAAAGCAAGATTTCGCGTTTTTAATTAGAAAATATGGAACAGTAAAGGAAATACCTTGGATGTGCCAGGAGATAAACTGTGGTAACAATAATAAATATAAACACAGGCGGACTCTGGATATTTGTCATATATTGTTTATTATAACCATTGTCGTATTCTCTGTCTGACTTCTCAGTCCAAATTGCTAAAGAACTAGGGAGTTCAGTCATTTAATCTGGTTGTATGAAGTTATCTTTAAGTCGCCTTATTATAAATACACTACTTAGTGGTAATATCTCAATCAGTATCAAAGGAATATTTGGTTGAGGCTCTGAGAATGATCAGTCGATATGACAAAACCTGATATTCAGTGGATATGTAATGGTGAATATTGGGGTCATCGACCATTTTAACCAACTGTAATTTTAGTGAATAGATTACTTTCCACTGACTAGTATAGGATGAATAAATGCTTGTCGAGCGGATTTACATTTCACTAGTAAGACGGTTCAATAGGACGTAGTCTCGCTACCTCAGGTATAGGTCTTCGATCAACGCATAAATCTGAGATGAAAATGTTGCTTAAGAGTCCAAATTAACATGGACGATTCCCCGACCGACGGTTTCCAAACTTACTGAATACTCACACTACAAGTGAACGTGGGCCACTTGTTGTAACTGACAGGAAAAAAATTACATTCTAAAAAAGATATACAGTTTTCGGTATTACTGTACACAATAATAACTGGGTAAAGTTAGTAATATGCTGGGTAGGACGGAATCAGACTCTACTGACAACCAAGTATCTCTCAAAAAATATCATATGAAAAACAGCTAGGAGCAAGAAATGGATATGTGCCAGCGACGATGTATTCGAATGTAGGCAGAATCAGCGTAATGTAAGACTCTCAGTTCAGGTGGCTAGAAAGAAAGAAGCTTTTCTAGACAGGTCGTGTAGTGATCTCGTGTTGATGTTTGTAGTGGTTCACGTTTAGTCAGACGGAAATTTGTGTACTTGAGGCACATGCAGAGTAGCATAAGTGAGTAGGGCTGGAAAAGGGAAGCAAAAGAGCTAGTGAGTTGACGACCTAAACGGCATACAAAATGCATTTAAATTTAATAAAGAGAGCAACAGATAGTAATTGGAAATAACACAAGCATCTGAACAAGAGTCTGAAAATCTAAATTAGAGTCAAACAGTTTGATCAGCTACAATGCGTCACCGTGTAGTGTCGGTTGACGTGTTAAGCCCATATACCTTATTCTAGTTTTCGGACAGGCTAATCTATTCATTCTACTTGATTCATATGTTGATCTTATTAATTATAGGCTTATCAATCTTGGCTGTTTTTAAATGAGCGCGTATGTGTGTGCTCTTATGGAGTTAGCTTACCCGCCATCTCCACTGCGCGTCGTTTCTCTTCTCTCTATCCCACTCGCTCCACATACAAAATATATGTATTCAAAATTCCATTCTCGTTATTTGACTTGTTTAATTCCGTTATTGACTAACGCGATTTAAGTTGATGATTATATACGAGGATGGGCAACATATACAGTTCGACAGCAACCATTCAATAACAATCATTCGTACGATCTAATTGGAGTCAGATCTCGAGCCACTAAAACCGAATGCCTTGAAATAGTTATTGTCGATTAAAAATAGCAAGAACAGCACCAATTCTGAACGCCTGGAAAGCTACTTATTTTAAGGAAAGTCTTACCACCAGATCGTCTTCATTACTTGTTAGTGTGGACCTTACTATAAGGATGAAGTAGATGGTTATATATACTTATCAAGCTTCTAATTTCTGGAAACGTTTTCGTGGAACACTGGAAGATAAATTCTATCTACCGTCACTTAGCGGACTACTTCCGCAAAGGAAGCAGGCCAATACACAGTACTATCCAAAATACACAATGATGATTATGCCAAAAGAATGAATTCCATTACTTTGTAAAAGTTCGTTTAAGGAGTGAATACCAAGTATATTAAATTGAATTTCTGAGTAAAATAGTGTACTGTAAAATACATGTAGACGTTTGAAGACACAATAAATTAATTTTTCAATGATGAAGCCTTTTTAATCGATTAGGCACTTTAGGCATCAATCAGCTGCTGTTGTTTAAGTGGTTACTTGACTCCCACCATTTTGATTGGCGTTTTGGTTTGAAGAAATGGCTAGGACGAAACAAACCGCAAGAAAGTCAACTGGTGGCAAAGCACCGAGAAAGCAACTTGCAACCAAAGCTGCACGCAAGTCTGCACCATCAACGGGTGGTGTAAAAAAACCTCACCGTTATCGTCCAGGGACTGTTGCTTTGCGAGAAATCCGTCGTTATCAAAAGTCCACTGAGTTGCTGATACGAAAGTTGCCCTTCCAAAGATTAGTTCGCGAAATCGCTCAAGATTTTAAGACTGACTTACGTTTTCAGAGCGCTGCAGTTGGTGCTCTTCAAGAAGCAAGTGAGGCATATCTAGTTGGTCTGTTCGAAGATACAAACCTTTGTGCGATTCATGCTAAAAGGGTTACAATTATGCCGAAAGATATCCAGTTGGCTCGCCGCATTCGAGGAGAAAGAGCTTAAATTTTCAATCAATAAATGTTAACTTAATTTCTTGTTCGTTTTTACTCGTAGATGGGGATCAAGATGTCTTCTGTTAAGCGTAAGGATCCTTAAGAATCCCTACGAGATGAATTCATCTCGTAATGGTGTAAATACTTGCCTAACGTGACAATAATAAGAGCGCACTATCAAGATCTGACTTATTAGTATGTCGGATGTCGTTATATTTGGGACATGGAGCTCGTAGAGTAAAGGTCTATCCGTAGTGATGCTTATTCGAAAGTGTAAAGTGCCTTCTAAGCGGTCATAGATTAATGAAGGTATAAGTTATCGTTTATGTACTCGCAATCCCGTTATGCATTCAGAGGCATCTGGTGTTCTATGGCAATTATTGCGGGATGGGCGTCCATTTATTTGGTCCGAATACAGGCAGACTGTCGTAATCCATGTAGATGTCTTTGTTGGTAAGTGTCACGGCCAGTGTTTGTGTGTTTTAGGTGCCACTGTGAGAGCGTAGTCGAAACATTTACCACAAGGTAGTTGCCGTACACAATATTGCGGCTCGATTGTCACACGTGGTTTGAAGGTTTGTAGGGTTTTTCCTTGTTTGCACAGTCAGTATTGTCCTCACCTGTTGTTAGTTTCAAGCCGAATGCATAACTCGCTCAGCAGTAGCCGGGGGCTTCGTGTCTAAATGACTTCAAGGAGTTTTATGTTTGAGAGCTGGATCCCAACCGCCGGACTTGATTGGACTACCAGGAATGGCATGTGGGCGGTCGAAAGCAGGTCATACAATGTCTTATAAAACGAGAGGAATTAGTGTGGGTGGCAATCACAGTCTCGCTTAGGTCTGTTCAATGCAATCCAGCTTATAATTGCATCGATGTAGATGGTTTCTTATACGCCGTGTGGGTTGCAGTTGTCGCAATCGTTTCTGAAGTGATATATAATTTAGTATGAGCTTATGTGGTGGCAGCACTTTTCCTTAACTTTTTGAGTATCACGCTAAAACAATATTACTGCGTCGTGCTGAGTGACTCATATATTCAAAACTTCGTGGTTTTTTACACTATTTAGATTCTAGATCTGTATATTTAGTCATCAATACTAAACTTGTGCGGGATATAAAACAATAGAGGACCAACATTTTTGTAACGTGCTTGTTGAAATGTAGTTAATTTCTGAGAACAAACTAGTATTTACATGGAACTCAAATGGAATCCGCCGTTCCTCTTCTTTGTGTTATTGACACGAAATTAGATGCCACCCTCTCGGGTGAGTAGTTCACTCGACATTTTGCCGAAAAATCATGCAGGCAAATAATTGCGTACGTCATTTTAATAGCACCTCCTTTCAAGAATCTGGAAATTATCGGGTAAGACAGTGGAGACGCTCGTCCCATGGTGTTCAGGTGTGATAACGCAAACGATGGGAAACAGAATAGACATATCAGAGGAAACAGGTATCATGTAATGTGGTGAACTAAGTGGTAGGGACTGGACAGTGTGGTACACAAATGATGCAGTTGTTGACGGATTACAAAAATAGATGAATACCTAAAAGAATTGTACAACTAGGTACTAATTCATATATCCTATATTATCTATCCCAGGTGAAGTTATATATCATGATAGTCCTGATGATGAGCAATAACTACGGAATATAGAGACAGACCAGATCTTAGTCACGACCAAAGGATGCTCAAGTACATATACTGGTCGAAGTGTAGTACGAACTTATAAGTAGCATTAATATTTACATACGAGTGGTTATAATATATACTACCGACTAAATTAGCACCCAGATAACTAAAATTCAAATAAAGTAGACAACTCAGCATCCACTTACATGCGTAGTACTTGGTTGAGTACAACTATGCCATTAAGAGACCCTGGATCATACGAAGACCACGACCTGAATATTTAGGCAACGAGTAATTTGGGATGCGAATATAAGGCGTAACTAGTGAGCCGTGATGTGTAATCTTGCATCTAGATATTGACGATATACTCACATGAAGAGACCAGCTGGTCATTCTACAGTAGATAAGAAGGTTAAGCCACTTTGGTGAAAATATGAACGCTCAAGCAACGGTATAGTGTTATGGAGAATCACTATCGAGGTTATGCAATAAATAGCGTATAGAATTCCCAGATGTACCCTACTCGTCATTTACATTTTTTAAGCGAAGTTGAATAAACCCACTTGATAAGTTAACGCTGCGTAAATATGTTCTCTAGTCACCAATTAATAGAACTAAAGTGGCTGTTAAATCTAGCAATTACCACCACTATAAGCATTTCGATCTGATCCATTAAGCTTGTTAATCGTATAAATATATGGTATTCAACGAAACCGTTAGTGACCTTTGACAAGAACTAAGGGTTACTTTTGAAAGCATTACAAATACACTGTACTCTCCATCGTCTACAAAACTCATAAGATCGTAAACATCATAATATCAATGACAAACATGATATGAAATTAGTCGCACATAGGGGAAAATGTTGGTTACGATGGGCGACTAGTCATTTGTAACCACACTAATGTCGAAATTTCGAAAACTGGGGAAACTATTGCAACTTCCAGTTGACGACTGAGCTGTTATATATATAAAAGATAAAAAACATCCACAGATGGCTTCATGAAGCTGCAAAACCTGACTAATTATTTTGTACAAAGAAATGGATTTAACTAAGCAATTAGTGAAACACATGGGTTAAAAAACGTTATCTTGTTTATCATAAAAAAATCAAAGCACAACGAAAAGATGTAAATCAAACAGCCAGCGTTGTGAATACAAAACTATTAAAGAGTCTAGACTGATAATCAGAAAATCACACAATCCGTAGATGATCCATCTTAAGTTGGCGGATAGCTGCAAAAAGCGATAACTGAAAACAAGATTTTCACCGTATAAGCGAAAAGTATAGCTTTCATATGCATCGCATAAATACATCAAATGCCTTGACTAAGTTTATGATTAATCCGGGACCCGAAAAGAAAACAACACTGTCTACTGGTATAAAAATATTGCAACCGTAACTATCCAACAGTACAGATTAAACTTCACAACAGATTTAGTATTTAAAAGCCAGACAAGTATAGATACATAAAGACCGCTGAGGGAAAGACCAATACAGGGATCTCGATAGAGAGAATTTTGAACAGTTTCAATGTACCAAAATGAGGATCTTAGGAAGGAAAGTGATAACTTTAGAAATATCACCCATTTGTCTACTATTAGAAAATCTAGCAAACAAACGGATAAAAATGAATCAGAAAGTGGAATTTTCTGGTGGCTGAGCAAGTCTTGAATTTTCAGATGCAGACATCTTCTTGCGGACATCCAGTAGCACATGACGTATGCAGTATCCACGAGTCCAGTTAGACAGAGTAGAGAACATTCGAGGATCAACCTAAAAAGTCGATACGAATATGAATGTATATTACGGTTTTAACAGGCTTATAATTAAAAGATAACTACTAAATATGAAACTGGTTGTCGTGTATTTTCGATTTTATGAAAGTAATTTTGTGTCTAACCAACATATCGATAGATCGTAAATTTGTTTAAAAAATGAATTCAGAACTATATGAGCTGTACACGATTTACCGATCGAACAGGAAAAAATTGTTAAGATAAGATTTACTATGTTATCCTGAATTATTAGCTCATTCGAAGGGCCGTTTCAACAATTCATTTTAGTTAGTTGTTATCACCTGACAACGCTGCAAAATTATGTATCTTATACCTACCAATATCTCATTCGTGAATTCGAAAAAATGCGCTCACAACAAATCCAAACCTCGTCTCCTTAATAACATATTATACACACTAATTTAAAGATGAAATGTGAATTAACTAGTATTAATAACTTTTTAGTATATTATCTACGATCCGTAGCTACGTTAAGGTTAGTATAATCTTTGACAGCAATATAAGAACTGATACGCATTAACGACTAACGAGACAAAGATCACACATATAATGCTTATACGTGTTCGGCTTTTTATTGGTACGAAAATGGGGTAATTTTGGTGCTTCTGAATTCTCTGAGTTAAGTGGCTTAATAGCAAAGTTTTCATTGTCGTTGTGGACATCATTAACGCTTAATCCATGTAACAATGGGCTTCCTAGTAACTCCACAAGTCTTAAGTAAATTTGTCCTGATGACTCTGATTGGTTATTTTCATAACAATACTTAGCGCCATAATATCTTGATTATCTTTTAAAATACAGAAACTAACAGCATTGGTTATTATGAACAGAGGAGATAACTTTTTACAGCTTACATATTGTCAGAGACAGAGATTAGAGAAACAGGAAATTTTTTAGGTTATGATTATTTCAATCTACGGATTTCGTGAAATGACCATTTGCGATGAAAGACAAAGTACTATAGGGAATTTCGGTGATACAAGCTTGTTGGCAATATCGAATGACAATGTTGTGTGGTGGTTTTGTAGGGCTTGACTACGAAGCTAACAAAAGCCAAGGTTCAGTCAGTCAGCCGTAACGTAAAACCTGGTACGTATGTACATTAAGTCAAAGTTCCTTTCTATAAAAATCAACATTCTGAGGACAAAAATCTTTTATTAGTAGCTGAATTAATAACAGATATGGATGCAAGACATTGGGTTTTCAAGGAGCTATTACATTCGACTAGGAATATTCGTTAATACAATAGATATTTTCTTACTTAAAACGAAAACCAAACTTGATGGATATATGTAAACTTACTTCACCAGTATTCTCATTTACTCCGTGCATACGTATTTTAGTGACAAACCTAAATGAAAACAAAATGAGTGTATTTACTGTCGATAATTCAATTTGTTTGATAGAAAAAAAAACAGTACAATATACTACATGAGCATAAACTTTGAATTACACCCAACAAACATATATGTGTACTTTAGAGTAGCAATAAGAGCTGCTGCAAAGTTATAAAAAAGTCACTATAATGGCAATCGACGAATGTCAGCTTACCTAACTGTTGGAGGGATATCTGGATATTTTGGTCCACATTCGATCCGCAAATCATAAA